TACCAAACGCGAAAGACGGAGCAAGTCAAATACTGATTGTTTACTAAATAATACATATTTTATAATGAATTCGATAAATAATTAAAGAAAAGCAAATATATTGAATAAACATTTCTGGAAACCGGTTATTATTTCAAATGAGGATGATCGTCTACTTTTAAATTTATTTTTCTTTCAACATTATTCCATATTACAGAAACGTTGTGAAATGCATAATATTAAAATTTGGAAGTGCAAAGTAAGCAACATTGTTAATACAAAAGGGGAAAAATAGTCAATCATTACTTCTATACGGAAAATAATCGAAAAATCTCCATACTGTTTTTCATGTTTCGAAGTTAAATCGTTGGAAACAAGAGAAAATTCGTCGACTCAGAAATCAGTTGCAAAGTCGTGACGTAGATCTGTAGTAACAATAAATAAAATAATAAACCAAAGTTTACAAATTAAAAAAAGCTAAAAAAAAACGTAATGCTCACTGTCTTTTGCCGAGGCATGTGGTTCAACGCAAAACAGTTTGTAGAACCTGTATGAAAACTGTTTAAGAGATACATTGTGATCCTCGATGAAGCACCCGTTTGCCTAAATGACTGAAACAAAATAAAGGTTTATTTGTTATCGAAAATGAAGAGAAAAAGGTTACAAACAATAGTTCCGTCGACGCAAAGAAAGTTTCAAATATATAATTGTAATTTATATATGTAGTTGTAATTTATATATATTTTTACTTAAAACATATATTTGTAATGTTTTATATCATCTTAACTCCGAAATTCTTTACTTCCGTATATTGATTAGAAAAAGAATTAACATTATTTGCAATAATTTATTTTAACAACCCTTTTCAAGAAAGACACTTCCAAATGCTTACTTTTGAATATATGCCTAAAAAACAGCAGTGCTGAAATATTTATTTCTTTGTTTCGTTTAAATTTATTCTTTAACTTTCATCTTAATTACATCAAGTCTTTGCGTGAAACATAAATGAAAAGCATTCGAAAAGAGGTCAATATTCTGCATACTTAACATGCGATTCGGGGTAGATAAAAAAAAAATAAATATTTATTTCATTTTCTGTGTAAATGAACCTCCTACCTCAATACATTATACTGGAAAGGAAAAAAAAATAAATTAACTACGGAAGAAATTTTAGCATCAAAAAATATTTTACTAGTAGATTTTTAAACGGTAATCTATTATTTTTCATTCAAGCGCATTGTTTTCGAATAAATTTATGAATTTTTATTTTAAGAATTGAGAGTTATTGCTAATAAAAAGTTAAATTGTATCAAATGTTTTCTACCAGTTTCTGAAACTGCGAAATTTTAAAATTTTATACAATATTTGTTTTTTAAGTAGCTTTGTATCTTAAAATTCGGGGCGAGGTCGAATCCCGCGAACGGGCTGGCTGCATAAGCGTTTTCGGTGGTTTTCCCCATGTGTAACGTGCATACGAGCCAGTTTCCCTTAGAAAGTCCTCCACGAAGGCATCCCTCCCCTTAGGCAGATAGCCCTCGAGGCTTTGCCATAATCACACACACACACACACAGTAGTACTTTAAAAGGCTTTTATTTGTTCAGCTCATGGCGTTTTAATGTGGTTGGAATTTTGTCATTGATTTTTAAACTACATCCTGATAAGCTATCGAGTTTAAATTTTCCACAATCACTGTTGCTCGATGACAGTGAAGTAAAGGGAATTTTTTTCAAAATTTGATTTAGATTTTTTTGTTTTACGTGTAAAATATATTTTTTGCACATATCTTCATTTCACAAACAAACTAAACATATCAAAACTTTACTGTTTGTATCATTGAATACAGCAGAAAAATATTTTTCAAGGAAATTTGTGGGAAAATTGTAATTTAATCGCCAAATTTCTGACGAATTTTTGAAAATCGCTCTCTTTTTCGACTCTTTGCCGTTTATGATTTTAAAATTTTAGTATCGAAAAATGTATCTGATATAAAATTTTAAGTTTAAAAAATTATATAACAAAGTTTTTGCCCTCTTTTAAAAGAAGAATGATAAAAAACTATTAATTGAGCGATTTTCTATTTTTTTAAACAATGTGTTGCTGCTTGAAGCAGAGGAAAGAAAAAAGTATTTCTCGGGGAAAATTTACTTTTGAGCTGGCCATCTTGGCGCATTTAATGTCGAATTGGAGATATTCGTTTCTGCGTTTTGCCTTCAATTAAGCCATCGCACAACAGTAACTAAAATGGCGCCATATTGCTTGTTTGGGAAACTTCTTCTGAGAGCGGGGGAGGGAGGGGGAATTTTTTTCCTAACATCAGCGTTAATACGAAGAAAATAGTTTTGTGATTGTGAATGAACTTGGTCGCATTAAAAAGAGATATTGGTTGATACCGGTCGCTTCTGAAAGAGGCCAGTATAACATAAGTATATTTTGGTATTGAACATTCCCTCTGTAATGCGACCATTCACAAAGAAAATTCTGCAAGTGTGGCTGGTCGCCTTAGAGAGGTTCATTTCGTAGATGCAACCTCACTAAGACGACCACCTCTAAAAGATAAACGTATTTCTGAGAACGTGAGTCTATATTGGTATTGAGCATCACCTCTCTAAGGCGACCACTTGCAAAGATGCCTTTTTATTTGCGGCTGATCGCCTTAGAGAGACCTCGTTGTGTGTGGTGTATATGACTACTGTTTGTTTTTTCAAAAAAAAAATAATAATAAATAACATATGAGTAAAACCCTCTCTAAACGACTAGGTTCCGGTTCCTGCTGTCTTAAAGAGATCATATTTTCATTCTATTCTTTTTGTTTACAAAAAGTTTATTAACGTCAGATAACCTAGAATAAGCCCAAAAAACAAAGATTTATTATTATATTGATACCAGTAAGAAAACCATAAAATCAAATAACCAGTACAACCGTAGAAAGTTCTGACATTGTGTTGGTTGTATGGGTGTCAATTGATACCAGTAAAAAACTCCAGAGATCAATAGAAATCATTAAAATCCTAGGGCCAACAAAATTCTATAGGTACCAGTATAAAGTTTTACTGGTTTCTATAGGCATTTTAAAACCAGTAAGAAATTCCAGTAAAAGTAATAGAACCCATAAACTCTTATGGGTCCCATAAAAAGTTTTTCTGCTTCTATGGGGCATTTTAGCGGTCCTCTTGAAACATTGCTGTTGAATCCATTTAGGAAACTGAATAATCAACTTCATTCTCTGGTTGCATTTATTTATTTTTATATTTGTTTCTGATTTCGATATTCTTGCTTGTGTTTGAAAAAGACTAAAAAGTCCTTCCTTTATTGATAGGTGTCACTGAACTAAAAACAAATGAATATATTAAAAATCGATGTGTACCCACAGACTTCCTTGACGGAATATTAAATTATACGCCTTTTTTCTTGCTTTCATTTACTTATTAGATTGATTCACCTACTTTCGCCGACGCGCATAACCACAATAGATAATGCATTTTTTAAATTCACTTGTTTCCATAAGACACTCTGCCCTAGGTACTAACATATTATATTTCTTCCTATATACTCAGATGCACAATTTATCATAAGAATTATCTAATCGTTTGCCACATTTCTATTCAAATACTAACAAAGCTCGAACATTATAAAACAAAGAGCAAACAAACGAAAAAGAACAGTTTTTCACAGACATGCGTATTTCTCATTCATTATTCAGTTTTCACTTCGCGACAAGGCAAAAATACATAAAACTCAAAATATCTTATTAAAAATTCCGAAGTAATCTTAAATACTATTTCCTGGAAAAATTCCAAAAGGATTAAGCATGATTTAATGCGCATAAAATGAAGGCTTTTTTGTTTGCGAAGCTTATGTCTCTAGCTTGCACAAATCTAAATTCTGCTGTTTCAATGTAACAAATAGTCCGCCATTATTTAAAACTAAACGCACTTAAACCTTTTAAATTGTTGATATTGTACAATATTGCTTCCAGAATTACGAAAGCAAAAACTTTACTGAAGATAAAACAACATAATTCTTCTTTTAAAGCAAACTGTACATTACAACATATAAGATAAAGAAACGAGATTACTGAGCCGGTACAGAGTGATTATTATAAATATTTATATACGTTTAGCGCGGCGATTTAAACCAAATCGAGGTGCACATCTACATTTAGCGTAGTCTTATATACAAAATTTCAACGTCTGAGCTACCGTTTCTGATTATGCGAGATCGTACTACGCTCGTCGTACATACGTTCGTACCGACGCAGAAAAAGTCCTCAGATTCCTTTTAAAGCAGTTTTTTGTTTTTTTTGAGGAAAAAGTCTTTTATTCTGTCTTACGTATAAGAGTACGCAAAACATCGTTAAATTCATTCGAAAGCGTTAAAGTGGATAGTTCGTTAAAATATCTGCCTTAACTTTCGCGTACCAGCTTCCTTTTTACTTCGTACAAGGAAGTAAAAAGGTGGATTTTATACATTAGGCTTTTAAATAAAATGGATATGTTAATGAATGCACTAAAGGAGAAGTATAATTTATTATATAATTTAGTGGAAGTAGTAGATTAAATAATTCTATTTACAGAATTCATTTACAGTTTTAATAGCGCAAAAAATAAAAGTGTGAAACGCTTAAATAACGAAATCTATTGATTCATTTGAATTGCGTGAGCCAAGTTCTTTTAAAATTTATCACGGGCTTTATTATTCGCGACATAAAATATTAGATGAATTTTGTAAATAAGATTATTGACTTTATTATGTCCATTTAACTATAGGATACTTTATTTTTCTGCTTTTTGTGCATTAAATATCATATCCATTTTAAATAAAAGTTTATTGTATAAAAACCTTTTTTTTAAATTATATTTTTTTTTTCTACTACGTATTTTAGGCGGCTCATTTCATAAACATTATTCACAGTTAAAATAAGTAATTATTATTGCACGATATGGCAGCAGTTAACCGACTCATTTACTCAAACCGCCCATTTCCTGGAGGAATGCACGTGCTATTGCTTAAACTACAGCCATTTCGGAATTTGGTTTTTGTAATCGCCATTTGAAGAAATGTTCCCGTCGAGTCTAGTGCAATACGAGAATCCACAAATGGTGCTACACCACTCTACAAAAGCTGCCATTGAGGCCAATAAGGAGAAGGCGAAAAAAATGATTCTAATGAGCATTGACGAGTTGATGGCCGAGGGAAATGCAGACGTATTGGACATGCTTGATGTCTTACTGCCGCCTAGGATCATGAAAGGTATGGAAGCTTTCCTATCATAACAGCTTTAATAATACCAGCCTCTAATAACGGCGTAATGGCATTCGTCGACCTTCTTTTAGAATAAAACGGCCAAACTTTCGTTAAGCACAGCCAGATATGGAATGGTAGTTTCATGAACAGCTATTGCTTTTTTTGACTGAAGATATTGCGTTTTAATATTGAATTATTTTGCATGGAAACATATTTATTTACTATACTCTCAGAGTAATATAAATTGTTTTTTATTCTCGAAATAAGTGGAATAATTTCAGTTATTAAATTACTTTATATTGCATAATAATATAAAATAGTTTATTTAAACGTATATATTAAAATAGTGTTTGAGGTATTAATGCATATTAATTCTTCAAGTATCTGCCATAGTAGTTTTAATTCTTTTTTCTCTCTAAATGAAAATTTATCATCAGCACTATTTTTTCTTGTCGGTACCTGTCTTCTGTAACGGCTTTGGCGAGAATATGAATTTGGCCCTTTCTGCCGTGGCGAGAAACAAAGGGTTACCGAACTGTTCATATGCGAGAAACAAACAGCTAACCATCTGTCGTCATTTTCTATCATCATTTCTCGTAATAAAATTATGTTATTGTAGTGGTTTTTCATTGTAAAATACTAATTATGCTTACTATTTTCAATCTTCCGTCAGAGGAAAAAGAAGCCGAAGTTGATGTTTGAAGGATTATTAGCAGCCGCTCCTGAACTCTGGACACCTTTTCTTTCTCGCTTTTTCTTTCTTTTTTTAACTTGTGCGAAGTAAAGGACGTTTTGCAATTATGAAACATTTCGCATAACATATTTCAACGAAAATACCCATTAGATAGTTTCCGAATCACTTTTGACTGTTTTTTTGTTTGATGTCTATACGTACGGAGTGAATAAAGGTATGTAACGTATGTATGTAAGAATCTGATTAAATTAACTTTTAGTAAATAACGTAGTTATGTAATATCGAAATTACATTAATAAGAAATCTCCATACTTTCAGGATTCGCCGAATTCTGGCAACCATGCGCATAACAATTCTTAAGTTTTTACAAGTAACGTCGCAATTTTCATGATGGTTTGTTTTGTTCGAATTTGTTGTTCTATTCGAGTTTCCAGTGATTTTTTTTCCTTGCATGAACTAAAGGAGGTAGTGTAATAGCGAAAAAATTCGCTTCGAAGATAATATACATTTTAACTATTTTTTTGCGTGAAATCAGTTTGTACGGACTGGCTTAAAGGTTCTTCATTTCAAAGTGAATCGCAAAATGGTTTTAAAATAGATTTTTTCATGACATCTCTACGTACGTATGTAACTCGCATAAATCAAAGAAGAAGAGCATAGAGCGTTGAAATTTTGTATATGGGACTGGTAGTCTAGTTGTGAACCTGTCTTTTTCTATCGTACTTCCATATATATATACACGGTATCTCAGTTCTTATACATAAGCACCTCCTTACCCTTACTTCGTAGACATATACTTCCAATCACAAATGCATTAAATGACGAAAATATTCATGTTTGGGCAAGACGAAATTTAAAAATAAGACTGATAATGGACAAATAACAAAATTTTAACTTTTAATGGGATCTCTCGGTTCTTATATTTGGGAAAGTTTTATGCTCCTTATGAAAAAAAAGTAATAATACAAAAATGTTTACTGCTGTACATCAAAAATTGACCAGGTAATTGAACTTCAAAAATTTGCAAGTTTTTAGGTCATTTTCAACTTGCTTTTAGGAATCGGTTTATTAAGTTAGAATAATTCGAGGAAATAAGCTTAATTGGAATGCAGCAAAAAATGTGTATAATTTAAGAGGCCATATAAAGAAGTAGTATGGTGTCCACATGAGATTTTTCTTAATATTTCTTGCGTAAAAAATATTAGTTTTAATTATATTAAATAATTTTAACCTTGACATTTATTTGAAGATTTCATTCTTAAACGTGATGCAGTTTTACATCAATAAAGGTTTTATCGTCAATTTTATTAATTAATAAATTTTTTTAATTATCTTTTTTATTTTTTAAAATTTCTTTATTTATTATTTTATCATCATTGGAATATCGACTATGCCGATTAATTGGCCAACGTATGTTCGGCTATAGACTCCCAGCTGGATCCCCCTTGATCACTATTGATTCACTTTAAAATTTACTTGTATATTCTTCCCCTTGCGTACTTTGCCACCTAGCATTTTAGCTCTTAAAATATTTTAAGCCCTTACCTCTCCTTCCTCTAGGCGTTCCTAAAAGGAGTTTTCCTAAATTTTAAAATAGGTTCATGGACATAGTGTTCGCTTTTGTCCTAATGATTAGATCTTGGATTTTGGGTGCATAAGCTCTGATTAATGAAGAAACAATAGTAAAAGGCTTCAAGTAAAAGGGTATATCTAACACTGTTGAAGATTCTGAAGATCATTACACCTAGTTATAAAGACTGAAGTGTGACGAAGACGATGAGAACGGTCACTATGGGGAGGACTTGTCGGACGTATCAGACATCATTCAAATCGGTGTCCAGGTATATTAAATAATTTGAGGCCTAGGGATTATGTTTAAGTACTGGATAAGAGCGAGCGAGATTCAAGAAACAGGTAAGTAAAAATGGAAATCTTATATTAGATATTATAATGTTAATATTACTATGTATTCTTATGGAAATGTAGATTTCTTTCAAAGAAATACGATTGCGATAATACCTGTAGTTCATCCATGACAACTTTTCATTTGTCATCGTTTCATGTTCTTACCGTAACCGTGTTCTTCGGATACAGAATAATTCTCACAATTCGCCCCTCTCGATATTTGAACGATAAGAAAATAGATTTTATGGAAATGTTTCTAGATACAGAGTCACTACGTGTAACTAACTGCTTTTTGTCCTTAATTGGGGAAATATTTTATACACTGAAGGAAATACTGGTACTATTCTGTTACCGGGATAGGATTCCGAAATATATGAACATATAAAAGTGTGTTTATATGTATGTGCATATATGTGTATATGAATATACACACATACATTCGTACTTACATATATGCATGCATACATACATTTCTGAACCCGTTCCTAATAACAGAACAGTATAAAAATAGTATACTATTCTCATTTTGTTTAATGTGTAATTTAAAAAAAATTTTCTCAAGAATGCATCTGAAATTAACTATTGACAGCCGACAAAGATAATACTTACTGGTACCAGAAAGTCTCCAGGGCGTCTGCCTCTTCAAGTGACGTGATGCGCCTCCAAGAGCGCCTGGATGAGGAGCTCCAGAAACGTGGCGCCCGAGAGATCGGTCCATGTGACGTCCGTCGTGAATTGTATGACCAGTGCTTCGACGAGCTGATCCGTCAGGAATGTGTGGTATGTCCAGAACGTGGCCGCCTCTTGAGAATGGTGAGGAGGGAGAACCAAGTGTCCATCGATTCCCTCATCAGCTGCTACGAAAGCTCCCTCGCTTATGGCCTGAAGAAGAGGCTGTCGAGTGCGGACTGTGTGAATCGGCTCACCCGCGATATCACGAACCTACTGTCAGAGAGTGCTCGGTTGAGTGACATCATCTGTGACCTGCAGCCGAAAGTGGCGCAAGTTAAGAAGCAGACAGCATCTTGCGAGGTTCAGAAGCGAAAGGAGTTCGATGCTGCAGAAAAGAAATTGAGGGACGAGAACGAGTCCGTCTTGGCACATCTAATGCAAAGCATCGCAGTAAGCATTGAAGAAGAAACCTGAATGTTTCTATTTTTGGCTTTCTAGAACAGGCTGGAGATGCATATCCTCACTTCTGCAGTATTCTCAGATTGATTTATTGAAGAATACGAAATACGTGAATGAATATAAAAGAAAAATAAATAAATAAATAAAATAAACTTGTTCATTTTAATATTAAATAAAATGTTCTAGATATTGTACAATTTTCATTTTTATATTTCTTATCACATAAAATTAATTGTACAGAAAGATGTAGTGTAAGTCCGATTCTCTAACGAACCGAATAAGCTAATACGTGAAACTCGCTACGGTATGGATGTAGTGCTGGAAGACATAATTAAGTAACAATAAATAATAACTATATAGCAACATGAGCTCACTCTTTTCATGACACCTTAAAACTAACATCTAAACAGTTCGTAGAATGCAAATCATAAAATTATTTCATAATAATAAGGCGTATAACTCCTATGGATTTCATTATTAGAATCTTGAAATTCCCAATTTTAAATATTTAAAAATAGTACCTTTCTCTTTCTTAAAAAATAAAAGTCTTGAAATGAAAGTCTAAGGATAAAAATAAAAGTCTTAGGATACCATTTTAAATTGCTCTACAAGTCGTTGCCAACCACGGCTTCAAACAAAGAATAATTATATTAAAAATTTTGATATTTTTCAGTATTTTCCGACATTAAATGAGTATTTTTGTGCGTTAACAGTTCGTATAAACATATCCAAAGAGTATGGGGGGAAGAACGAAAAATTTTGAGTCTTTTTTATCAGTAAAAGCAATGTTTACAGGTAAGGTCCGGATTTCTTCAAGAATTTAAGTCCCAAATATAAATAAATTCTAAATAAAAGTATATGTAAAGTGGAAATCAGAACCAGGGCAAAAGTGAGGTAGTTTCCTCAGGTGAACAGGTAAAAAGAGCACCAAATTAGCTATGGAAATTTAGATATTCTTTAAAAAAGAGGAATTATGATTTTTAACATTCAGCTTTGGAATACATCAAAAAATATCAAAAGAAACCTTTCTGATAAATAATCAGCTGAACTAGAAAAAGAATTAATAACACTAATTTTAAAAGTTTTTGAGCAGTATGTGAATCAATAATATATGTATTATTTTCTAGCTTTATAGTTTATTGATAATAATAATATAATATAAATAAGGTAAGTTAAATTAGACTAATTTATACTACTGCTGTACTCTTACTTCTCCGTAACAAGCTTTCCAAAGTTCGCTAATTGAGTATAACTATGCGAGCGCCTAAATTTTATTTCAATAGATCTAGCGGATAAAGGCCTATCGAAATATCATCGGAAGATTAAGCAAGGATATTTAAATTGAAATGTAACATATTGTTGCGTGTCATTGGATCTTTGATACTTATTCGAATACGCCCAGATAAGCAGAAAGAAATGAACACTTCACTCGGAACAGTAAACAGTATTCTCAGCGTAATAAAGGCTGTAAATAACTCAAGGAGAACGCCGATATGCAGCAATTCCTACGTAACACGCAAACAATGTGATAAGCTATTTTTCTTCTTTTATTGTAAGTGTCATCGTATCCATTTTAAATAAAAGCTTATTGCATAAAAATCGTTTTGATACGTCGTGGATTTAACACAGCTAATGCTTTTGAGTATACTATCTTGTACTTACCACAGCTTTATTAATGGATCATAAGTTAAAATAACTATGAAATCTTTATTAAACAAGTTAGAGAGTTTGCGTACCTCAGACAAAACACAAATCAAAATTAACAGTCTTTACATACATTTAAATCGAAGTGTTGAAAAAAAGGACTTAGAAGATACTCATTTATAAGTTTCAAACATCTTCAGGCGTTTAGAGGGATAAGGAGTAGTTTTTCGAAATTTCAGTAAACAATTATTTTTCACTTATTTTAATTAAAGGTGAAATGTACAAAATTTTACCAAACTCTAATAAAAATGCAGAACAGTGTAGAAGAAAAGCGGCGCCATGGAGCAGTCTTGCTAAGAGCTGGTACTCGCTTTGTTATCGATTGTGTCTTTTTCATGAAATGAGCTTTCGGAAAATCACCATGCAGCTTGACTGATTCCTTCACGATTAACGAAATATTAGTAAATAACTTACACAGAAGAATGCACTTATATTCTGCTTTAAAGGCACTCTTCTGTAAAGTTCTACAGGGTGTATCAGTACAGGTGACAGCAGGGTCGGACACACGGACGGCTTTCAAAGACTAATCGGGTGTACATGCGACATGCGACATGCGACGGAGGACGTGGGCACCCCCCTTTACCATATGGTTAATTGGTGTAGCGCCACGTCCACCAGTGTCAATATAAATATCAAGGACTCGGACGCCTAGGTGCATTAGATTTCACTTATTACGCCTGACTGGCGTAAGATAAAATGTTCTACTGTACAAGGTTATATGCATGCAGGGGTAGGATATGGGAACAGTAAGATGATAATGCATAAAACAATTATATGTGGAGATATGCTGAAATATAACATACCAACACAGATATCATAGATACATTAAACATATGTTACATAAAGATCAATAACTAACATACTATTATACCTACATTCGGGTGTACATTCGGGAGTAATCGGGTGTACAGCGGTGACAAATTTTCAGGAGAGATGGACTACACCTAGACGATGGGAAATCACATAGCAAAGCATGGTCAGAAACGCTTTCCTGGCGCGGTAGTGACGATATAAAAAGCAAAAAAGGAAGGATACAAACAGTGAGACAAAACATGTTTTTATTTAGTAAGAATAAATAAGAACAAAAACAAACAACGATCGTCTACAACCCCGGACCGCGATCCAGGCCTCACTTGTTTGGCACATAGAAGATCAGCATCAGGAATGGAAAGGAATGGAAGATAGAATGGAATATGCATGACGCACGGTTCCTGCATCATGGTCCGGGTCGTTCCTTCGAACACCTTTGATGATGATCGTTGTCTCTTTATGTTGCTTTGTTTTTGTTGTACTCCGAACAATAAACATGTTTTCTCTCACCGTTCGTGCTCTTTCCTTCTTGACTTTTGTATTGTGACTACCCGCGCCAGGAAAGCGTTTCGGATCATGCATTTCTATGTGATTTCCCATCGTATAGGTGTATTCTATCTCTCCTGAAAGTTTGTCACCGCTGTTCTTATACACCCTTAGTTACTGTATACTGTTCTAAAGAGCAAACGAATACGGAGCCATCCAACGGTTTTAGTAAGAACTGTTAGTGAAAACGATGACGGGATTTCGAAATTGAAACTGTGTAGAAATATTAATGTTTATTAAAAAATTGATAACTTTCTTGTTTAGCATGTATGACTTCCTCTGATAGCGGAAGCGCAACAACGGCGATGTGAATCTAAGTCTCGTGAGGAAAGTACAGGGATTCTAATACAGAATTATCAGGAGTATATTCCAAAAAAGAAGATAACATGCTGAAAAGAATGAAGCACAAATATAATTAGAATTCTCTCTCGCCAATATATATCGTTTGAAACACTTTTTATGATTGTATTTAATTTTAAATATCGTTGTGTGTAAGATTAGAAAACATGCAGTAGTTTACAAAAACGATTAATACACTAAAATTATTAAAAAAAAAACAAAGAGTTTAGGATGACATAAGTTTTCATGCTTCAGTTCGTCTTTTGAGGGTAAGCGGTTGAATCAGATGCAGTTAAACTGGAAAAAAAATACATATTTTATGTTTCGGAACTAATTCAACGAATTTAAACAACAGTCTTATCGTGTAGACATGCAATCGATCATAACTTCCGGCAAGCGTTGCCCATTATTGGTTTTGCGCCAGAAAAGCTTACGCTCAGCAAGATTCTTCCTTTCAACAGAAGAAATCTTTCAGAGTTTGCCTCAAGGAACACGAAGTTTCAGACAAGAATGGATAGATCTGTTCTTCAGTCAGCTGTTACTTCTTTTTGATTATGGGAGGAAAACACAATTTATTTTCAGTGTCTTGGAAATACAGAAGAGAGATGTAAAATATAGTATATCTATAGCAAGGTCTCCCTTAATATGGAGAAAGTTCTGAATTTTTTCCAGACCTGAGTTGAGTTTTATTATCTGCTCTCTGTGTAATCCGTTTTTATCCGGTAGATATCACAGCGCCAGAGTGTGAAAAGTTCAACTACTACAGGGTAATCTGAAAGTAGCGCGCATTAAAGTTTAAAAAATTAGGGAAATATCAATGGATATATTATTGACATACTGCTTCGAAGAATGACACAACTATGAAATTATATTAATACCAACCGGTCGCTTGAGTCAACAAGTCGCAACAAGTCGCTTGAGCGTTACGTCGAGTGCGGAACCTTAATTTAGAGGCTAGAATTTTAGGCTAGTTGTTTCAAAATCTCAAACAATTATTTTCGTCTTATTTTAGTTGAAAGCACATTGTAAAAAATTTTACCAAACTCAAAATATAGAACAGTGCAGAATAAAGACGGCGCCATGGAGCAGTTTTGTTATCGATTGACTTTTTCCTGAAATGAGTTTTTGAAAAATCCCTGTGCACTTTGATTTCTTCACTGCTTTCGAAATATTAGTTAAAAATGTTATGCTTTAAAGGCACTGTTCTGCAAAGTTCTATACTATTTTAAAGAGTAAACGAATACGAAGCCATGTAAATGTTTATATAAGAACTGTTAGCGACAACGTTGACGTGATTTCGCAATTGAAACTGTGTAGAAATATTTATATTTATTAAACAAATTATAAATTACTTTCTCAGCATGTACGACTTCCACTGATAATGGAAGTGCAACAACGATGATTTGAACCTAAGATTCTTGAGTAAAGTACAGGATTCTATTACAGAATTCTAATAATAATGAGTTTGGACTATGTGGGATTGTTTTTCAAAATCTTATGTGGACCCGGGCCTCACATCACGCCTTTGAAGAAGTGACTTAAGTTTTTAAATATAATATATGCCTATATGCAGAAATACAAAGAAGGACGAAGCTAAAAAGTGGTCTGCATTTGAAAGTGTTTACGTTTATTGTGGAAATGGACTTCCAAGAATCAGTCCTTGACTTATCTTTGGTATTAAAGACACTCTGGACAGTGTGCATTTGAGAGAAACTTTTCAAAGTTGATTAAAAGCTGTCTTCGATCAACAGTGAACCAAGTAAGACTTTAGGGTTTGGCAGTCGTTTC